TTTCTTGAGAAGTCCGCCTCTAGAACCGCGCTTCTTTTTCTTCTTGTGAATTCCAACTTTCAAAACAAATGAGTAAATGTCAGGGGGTAGGAACCTTGGTGCGGAACTTCGATGGGCCTGAAGTTCAACGCTGGTGTATTGATGGCGTTTTACAGCACTTATGAAGGGAAACAGATTTAGAAGGACTAAAAACAAAAACAGAACTGAAGAAGGGCACAGACCAGCTGCCACTCCGGGCGCGGCCATTTTTTTTCTTCAGGAAGAACGGCCGGGAAAATGAAGGTCGTCTCCGACGAGGCTCGTACGTGTTTCCTAGCCTCGCCGATTCACGAATCGATTAAAATCGTGGTCACCGGAGAGGTTACTATAGGAGAGGTGGAAGATGGTATTTAGGATTCCACGAATCTGAAGTGGCATTTACCATGCGGCCAGTTCATATAAACGAATTCCATTCCAAGGAAATTAAATAAATAATTTTCCCATGTAGTTTTTTCTCCTGAAAATGAAGGACGATCCGCTAAGAGAACACAAAAATTGTTCACGAGGAGGAAAACTGACGGAAATGCCCTCGACCACGGAGACGAACCTGTCGAAGGCATTAGATTGCGACAATAAAAAGCACGTTTTTTTATTTTTAAATCTCGCTCAGTTGGTTTCATTCTTTCAGAATCGCCTAACCCTCGTATAACTTGTTCTTGATGTTATTTTGAGGGTGTGAGCATTCAATAATTGTGACAGGTATTTTGGATTATGGTATTTCGTTCGTTTTTGGGTATACAAGAATACTGAAGGTGTGGGATATCGTGACCATGTTTGAAGTGAAAGGAGTTTTGGTGAGTTCACGACGCCATGGGTTGGCCTTTTTTTTCGCTCAGTAATCCAATTATCAACCTTTATATAGGCAATAAATTATTCATTTTCCCAAATCAAGCACAGGAGGACCATTTAAATAAAATGCCGATAACTCAGAGTTGTACAGAAAAACAGGTAAACTAATATATGATGGGCCTTCGATCGAGACTGGATAATGCAGAGAGATGGGAGTGTTCATATGGTACCCGTAGAGAAATTCCAGAATTAATTTATATCCCTCAATGAACTAGAATATCATGAGAAAAATATGACGAAACGAAAAGTGAGAGAAATTAATGTTTCATTAGGGAGTAATTTTTCCCCCGGGAAACTGTAACAACATTCATGATTTTCCTTCCCCAGTCGTGGAATTTGGTGATGATAAGCACCAAAATAACATTTGGTGCTGTGCATCAAACTTTGAGGAGACTCACAACTTTGTCATCTAGGAATATACAGAGTGGTCCAAAAGTATCCATACATAGGGAAAATTAACACTTTTTAACAAAATGTAACTTTATTCACAAAACATGCTCTACATGGTTGCCATTACTTTGAAAACACACATTTTCCTATAGGAAAACCAATTCCTTTAATTTTTGAGGTTAGGGATCATCAGATCATTCGCTTCAATTGTAATTGCAATTCAGTGGACACTATCAAGGCAAATTTGAAAAAATTCGTAGAAACCATCCCTAACTGACGAATACGGTGACATTTTGCCAGTCACCATCAAAGACTTCTGTGTTCTCGTTTGGTCAATAATGGTGCATTACCGCTGGAAGTGACTGAGTCTGAAAGCTTTTTGATCATCTCACGTAAAAACTATTCGAATAATGGCTCATTCAATTCAAGGGAATGAATTTCTTCTCAGGGGGAAATTTGAGGAGTGATGAGGGCAAAGAAACAAAAGGAAACCAGAAAATGAGACACTTACGTCGATCGATGGCTTTGGCGAATAGTACCGAAAGCATCCAACATTTTGCTACACGCATCCAAGAAAATGGCAAAAGACTGGACCGCAAAATGAAACCAACATCGGCAGGCCGCTCCCAAATTTCATTCCGTTCTATTGCGGACTGCCAATGGGCCAATGGGCAAATGGCCCTCAGGACTAATATCCGTTTAGCCACTCACGGATGAGAATGTCAGCATCTAAAGCTAATACGACCTCCAATATTAATGGTGAAGTTCAACGGAAAACGCAAATAAGGAATGCAGGTTCAATGTAATCGCCTCTAAGAGTCATACATTTAGCCACAAATGTTGAAATCGGTATGGTGTCATCAAATTCCCTAATACAAGAATCCCCGATCATTATAGGTTCAAGGATTTCTGGTTTCTGATGGGGT